TAGGAACAGCGGAATCTAACATACAAAAATACACATGTATCAATGCAGATCAGAAAATCGGAATAAGTAATAGCGATAAAATTTCCGACGAGTTGAAATTCTGTGTTAAAAACTGTGTTATTTCTATCGCTATCGCTATTCCGTCCATTGTGCAAGAGGCTTTAAAACTTTTGTTATTTCTATCGCTATCGCTATTCCGTCCATTGTGCAAGAGGCTTTATGCGTCATAAATGTTGCTTTAAAGCGTCACTCCATCGTTAAAGCCCGTATCAGAGTACGAATCAGGAATGCGGTTTGAAGCAAACGTCTGATTGGCCGCTCCACGACGATCCCGCCATATTATGCGCAGTGACTGCGTACTCGCAGTTTGGTCTTACACTTTGGTTACGTTGCGCGAGAAGGTGCACGCAACGTGTGTGCCTTTATCAAACTGGTGAAAGGTGCACGCGCTTACGTGGACGATAATAATATCGTGCGAGGTATACGATTTCGCATTTTGTAGCACAGTTGGACGCTCACGCGTGTGTTTACTGTGTGTGAACTAACCACGTAATGTCAGTGTCATTACACACACAAATAGCGAAGGCTTTAACATCAATATCATGAACGGTGCGCCACGTAAAGTAAAAAATTCGCTCTTGTCCGCCGCTGGTCCCGGTTTTCCATTCGATAGCTACACCGAGAATACATTGCTGATGCCAGTTACACCTGCAACACCAGCCGTGCTCCGAGACGGTGAGTTTGTTTAATACAAAAACCTCATTGGGTGGGGTTTTGGCGGATGTGTGAATATCACCTGATCCAATATAACAGAAACAAATTATAACACAATCGAGTTTTGAAATGTGCATTCGCGTACTATAATTTGTTTGCTCCGTTTATATATTATTTGCTTAATTATCTTATCATATGCCCCTATGCTAATATATAAGCAAACATCTGTTAGTCATCATCTTATGCAGTCGGTATTGCAGAGTTGTTATGTGTCATGAAAAAGTTTGTTAAAAATGTATATAAATGTGAGCAGTTTTTATTTGCATACATACATGTGTATTTAAACATGTAAGTTCAATGAACTGTGACATTGTGTGTGTGTGTGTGATTAACTCAACTGCGAAAGCGATACATCACAAGGGAGAGAGAGCAATTCAATAACGGGATCTCTTCTGTAGCAATTTTATTAAAATATTATTTGTATAAAATAGGTAAAATGTATATGTTTGCAGAAATAGCATAAACAATCTTATTGTTGTGGCATATGTAATTTTTTTGTTTTTAATAGTAACAGAAGTGATGTGTATGTGAGATTTAGGAAACTTAATTTTGCTTTTGGGTAAACTATAATTCAAAAATTTTCATTGTTCTTACATTTTGGTATCTATTAAAATTTTTATCTCAAAATAAACTTAGAGAGAGAGAGAGGGAGAGGAATCTGCTGTTAATATTGATATTACAGATGTGGGACATAATATAAATGTGGGGACACACGTTATATTGTATATATATGCAGACACTTTATTTACACACATATTTCTGGAGAGATTTAACGCGTATAACTTAGTATTCTTATAAATAATGTTGTAAATGTTGAAGAAGAGAGTTTTTATAAATATAAAATTGCTTAGAAACTTGTTCTCTCGGGTCGAGACTCGCGTGGTCTAGAACCACCGTATCTTTGTGAATAAGACAAGTCGTGACTACTTCTTCTGCGAACACAATATATTATCCCAATTATTAGAAGAATAAGAAGTAGAAGAAGCAGCAATGCACCAACTGAGATCGCTGCTATTTCTCCTTGCGATAGATTGTCCCATTCTGTAAAAGATGAACAGCTTTGAACATGTACATGACAATATGAAGAATTGATTTTTTTTTCTAATTTGCGCGTGAACACAGTAAAAATATTATATTGTACAATATTGATCCCTGTTTAGAATATTAATTGTCATTGTTTTATTATTTATTTACTTGAGCTGCTGTCCAATAAGCAATGAACAACAATTTTTATTGGCGTAATAAGTGAATGTTATTATTTTAATTTTTATTGTATCAAGAGGGAGAGAGAGAGGGCTCGAGAATCATATATAAAAAATGTATTAACAATAAAAGGATATTACCTGTTACATCGATAGTTCGAATGTATTGGTTGTCAAAAACATCTATAGCTGTGATTTTAGCTGACGTCGAGCAACACGAAGACGAATAATAAAATGTTATTCGCTCTTTTGTGCCACTTATAAACTCGGTGCGTGGGTATATTCGATTTGGAGTCGATAGTACGCGCTTCAAACCTGTTTACAAAAAAAAAAAAAAAAAAAAAAACTATTGTACACAATTTGTGCAACGTAAAAATTCACAAGTTAATTGTTAAGCTTGTTGTGCACAAACCTGAATCGGAATCTTGAACAACAACGTCTGCGCTCCAAAACGTTTTATCGCAACGATCCTTGTTTAATTTTCCCGCACAGTTGCTGTTGAACGAGTATTCGATTGTAGGTTTGGCATCATCAATGTCCTGAGTGCATACAAAGGCAATAAGTGATACAAAAAAAAAAAAAAACGAAAGTCATAATAAGTAAAGCCACGTGTGTGCAGCGTGTGTGACTCTTTGCTGGCTTACCCTAAATGAATCTTGAACGTAAACATAAACCGTTTTCTGCGATATTTGCGTCTCATCGATAGACAGTGTGAGCGTATTGATAGAATTCTGGGTCCCTAGCGGAACAATCATATCCACTGTTACGTAACTCGTTTGTCCTGGACGTAACCATAAGCTGCGCACAAATAAAAATATAAAGATATAAAAACACATACACACGTGCGTGACGCAATATTTTTTATTTATAAATTCAAGATTTAACTTACTACGTAGGTAAAACGTTATATATTCGAAATGGTGCGCTTTTTGCTCGTATTGCGTATCTGACGGGCAGGAAGCAATTATTTGTTACATCAAAAACCAATCTGTGTGTCGTTCCTGGCGTAGCGATCAAACTGCTCTTGGAGTTTACTTCTATCACGTTTCTTCTCTCGGACAACTGTTCGAACAACTCTTTGTCGTTTGCGGCAAATTGTGCTGACAATTCTCGATCTTTGTTTATTACTTTCTTCGACAAATTTGTATTATCGATGATATTCGTGTCGATATTTTCGTTCAACGATGCTACTTCTGATGACCGCGCTTGAATTGTCTGCAATTGTTTCTGCACGCACAATGAAAGTCAGATCTTGAGATCTTCATATTAGAACTTTCTGGCGATGTTTGTGTGCAAAATACGAAAAACAATTGTTTAAAAAAAAAAAAACATTTACGTGACTCACCGGGTCAATTAGTTCTTCGTTGAACATTTTGTTACTTGTATCTCCTCCTAAAAATTTAACATCACCGTAGGAGCTTAGCAAAGATTTAGTTTCCAAAATAGAAGGATTATTTATGTTTATCAGAGCAGACTCGGCGGAAGAGATTAACGTATCTTTTTCGAACGAATCGTTTGTTATTACATCATCGTCGTTAATTCTCGAATCCGTGATTTCTACCGATCTCTCGGATATGAGTTTTGCAAACTTGGTGCCGAGATTATCGGCTCTTTCGTTGTCAGCATTTTCCTCTTTGGTGTTGTTGAATTCTAAAAATAAAAGAATAAAACAAATAATATCAATGTACAAATTTATATATTTCAACGCGCCAACCGTGCTTCGATTACTACTCTAGTAGTTCTGAAAATAAAAATAGAATCGCGAACGATAATAGCGCTGGCACCAAGATATTTAAAGACCAAGTGTGTAGTTAAGTTTTGCAAATTCATCTTTCACAAACGCGCGTCCGTGAGAATTTCGTTTGCACGCGTTTGGCATTTAGCTGGCAACGTCTTACACAACGCGAAGATATCGTTCAACAAAGAAAACGTTTTAAATTTTGTCACCTTTTTTGCGTCGACCAGCATGCGTCAGATTGCAAAACGAACGAGAAAGAAAGAGAAAGAGAGAGAGAGAGAGATAGCTTACAGACGCGTCCAAAGGGCAACGATAGAATTGCACAATCTTGTTATATCCGCGAGCCAGAGACTGACGAGTTGCCAGTAGCCAGACAACCTTCGCGTTGCGAAGTTGGGAGTCGCGCGATAATTTCGCGCTTCTCGTCGACAATTAAATCGCGGTTTACTCGCGACGTAAAAAAGTGAAGAGACGAACGTTAGTTAGTCTTATTCTTTTTTTTTTTTTTTTGCCGAACAGCGGTTGGATTTTAATTAAACAGTGTCTTCTTCACGCGCGCAAACAACAATCACGTTTGTGACTCTGTTTGATCTCGTGTCTTAAAAAAAAAAGTGTAGGTGTTCAACAGCTTTTTTTTTACGTATCCAACGTTATTCTCTGTCGCTTCCCTTGTCGCTTGGAATTACAACGGCAATTGTTTTACGTGTGCGTTGTGTAATTAATTTAATTGTCATTAGAGTTTACTCACCAGGCTCGTTGTCGACGTTTCTGTCGTGTTTTGTTTTATTAATTTCCTCGTTTACTCCGAGATAGGTAATCACGTCGATGCTATATTTTGAATTTTCCACCCCTGTTAGCTTCGCGCACAATCTGCCCGGTGGAAGGTTGCGCGCGCCGATAACCACCCCTTTCGCAGTGTACATGTACGTCAACGACATCGGTATTTCTGGCTGTCGCGTCGTCCCGTCTGTTAGACATTACAATTTAGAAGTGACAGCTGGTTTCTGACAAACTTCGAACATCTCCGTTAGGGATCCGGAGAGAGATATGTTACGTGAAATTAATTAACCCCCCCCCCCCCGACAAAAGAATCGCGATGTCGCGGTGACGAAAAAAGCCCCGTGGTTTTATCACACCTTTGCATTTTGTTGTGACATACGCGTTGGGAAAGAAGATTATTTACTTTTTTTTTACAAAGTGTGACGTGTAATATTCGAACTCAAATTTTGCGAATACAGACTGGTAATGTGGAAAAAAAACGAATTCTCGCAAATGGCATAGCAACAACGCAAAACGGAAGCAACTCGGTCCGGTCGATACTGCCCTTGGTACACGGAGGTTAGGCAAGTGTAACGACACTTCGCAGCAGCATACGATGTTCTCTGTGTATATTTGTTTTTTCTATATGTTATTTTGTGATGTGCGTGTTAATTAGTTAAATGTCAAATGTTTGACACTTCTATCTCGAAGTGTCAAACATTTGTGACTCCAAAATTGCACGCTGATTTATTCATTGCAACCGTGTTGTAATTATTATATCAGTACGTGTTCTTCCGAAGCGTGTGACTTGAACGCGCTTATCTTATCGATTTGACGTTAGTTATTTACGTCCGTTGCTCTATTATTGTTTTGAATATTCCATTTGTCTCTCGGAAACCAGGGTGTGCTATACCTACTGAGCGATATCCCTCCGATATATAATATGTCGTATAAAAAGAAGTCACGACTTACTAGTTGCAGACACAGTAAGAACAATGCGCGTAAGATTTCCAAAAGTTCTAATTACAATTCTCGTTACGTTAGTGTCTACGTTCAAATTAGTTTCAGTACGTCCGCTCAGATTCGCTTCACTATGCGCCAGTTTGATCTAAAAACAAAAAAAAACACGTGTTTTTTAAATATTTTCTTTTCTAAATGTATATGTAAAAAATATATGTGTGTTTTGTAACTGCTATATTACTTACTGAAAATTCCGGAGTAATATTCACAAAAGAGTTCGTCACATTTTCACGCTCTGTGTGCGTTTCTAAATTTGTATAATATTCATCTTCCTGGCTATATATACTCGGCTGTGTATTTTTCTTCACAATGTTACAATCCAAAATAAAATAAATCTGAAAGTAAATTTGATAAATAAATAAATGTATAAAAAACATTGCTCGTATTGAAGC